AGGGTGACTTGTCAAGGATGATACACCATGTCAGTCATGCTATCATATATTCAGTAAAGCACGAAGTCGAAGTGTGACCAAGGAGTTTTTGCAATAAAAGACCGCTAAGACCACTTTGACTTGATGAAAGGTGAAGCTATGCGATGCGTTTGAACAGCGCTCGAAAACCTGGTCATAAACCCTGCCAGTGATAGCTTCGATGGTGCGCCCTGGACTGGTTGAATGGCGAAAGCCTAATGGTGTGACGGTTTTTGTTAATCGAAAGGCTTTCTCGTACTCTTATATCTATTTTTCAATAAAAACAGCCCCTCAACCACCCGAAACTGTGATTGACCTTTGTCTCCGAAAGGACTACTAGTACTACCACTACTACTTCTACCACTACTACTACTACTACTACTACTCCTCCTCCTGCTGCTGCTGCTGCTGCTACCACTATGACAACAACAACTATACTACTACCATTAGCACGACGACCACGACGACGACGACGGCTACTACTACTACTACTACTACTACTACCACCTGTGCTCCTCATCACCCAAGCCAAGCCCCTCAGAATTAAGTTGCTGCACAAGGTGGAAGTAACGAGGCGAGGCAATACTTTCCAAACCGTATATAACGAGGGGAGGCGCTAAATCCCGGGATGCAAGAATATAGTGAGAACTGGATTCTTTCGTCGCCAACAAGTTAGCCAAAATTCTCGGTGTGCTGATGCCAGTCCCAGACAAGTCATGTTTGGGCTGTGTTTGTGTTTTTCCCCTATCAACATGGTCAAGTGGGTGGATATGTGGTTTGCACCCCCGCTTGGTCCCAGGGACTAGCCAGCCTTACACATGATCATTGCAAAGTTCAGATTTGTTTTAAACCCGGGGGGAAAGGGTAAACTAACTAGTAGCGATTGAGTAGGGTGCTACTATACCTAGGACGCAGGATAGTTCAGATTTTTTATTCAATGATTTTTTTCGTTTGAGGCCAGGGGGAACTTCCTTGAAGTTCCCCGCCTTGAAGTTCCCCGCTGGTTAACAAGACTTGCAACTCTGACTCTGCAATTTCACGATGAGACTTGAACTTGCGCTTGAAAGTGAAGTTGCCCTAAACAGTCTAGAAACCAAATGAATAGTGCCACTCCGGGAGCCGTTTGTTTGACACCTCAGGAACCCACTGCTTCCGACTGGCTGGAAGCCATGGTGCACACGCACAAAGAGTTAATAGAACAGTTCCTTCAGCTGCCATGGTGAAGCACATATGGGTGTTGTTTTCGCTCTTGCTTGGGCTTGCATCATATCCCAGTGGATGCATTAATTCAACATATTTTGGCCAAGGCCATCCAGATGCGCCGCTGTCGAGCACATATGGTGGGGCGAGTGGTCAGCATCTAAATATGGCAGATGAGATGGATTTGTCAGAATACTTTGCACCACGAATGCAATGACTCAAACATGTTCAAGGACCCTCCCGGTCGTTATGAGACCTGTCGGCACCAGATCGGCTTTTAGATTCGTTTCTGGGAACCGAACACCACGATACACTGATCTTGGAAGATCCTGGCTGGTTTTAGGGTGGTTGGGGCACGGTGTGTCCCATTACCAGTAGCAGAGGGTTTTAAGATTATCGTATATTGTCACTATTTGGGAGAAAGGCCTTTGCGTGCCTTTGCTAATCATCATCCACTGTTGCTGGTAATGGCACATACCCAAGGTGGTTTTCATTTCAAAGATCTCAAGACTGTTCAACATACTTCAAGGAACTGGTTGTGTCGACACTGACATCGCTTTGAGTTTTGTAGCGATACTCACTCACCTGGCTAAACTCAACCATTTCGGGAGACCGGCACATGGATCATTTGAACAAGATGAAGTGGATGAGTCTAAAATGAGCTCTCTTCGTTCGATTCTTTGCACCAACAAATTGGGATCAAGACAACGGTGTTGAGTGCACACTCCCAGCATGGGGCGCGCGGGCGAGCTCCGATAGCCGCACGGATCGCGCGAACTCCAGCTGGGGCGCTGCACGAACTCGTAGGCCGTGAAAGGGGTGGGCCGCCGATCAGGTCCTTCAAGCCATTTCAAGCCCAATTCGGATGTCGAAAGACTTCCGCTGTCTTCGGCTCGACCGTGCACGGGAGACCCATATATAATATATATGCCCTGCCTTGGGCGAGAGCAGCCCGCATGAGAACAGGGCCTGAGAAGTGAAGGCATCAAGGTATATATGAGGTACTAGGTGGTATGCAAACTAGCTGAGGAGTTGGCAATGGACAGAAGGCCAATCCTAAGTCGCCAGAAGGGATGGGGTTAACAAACATCGCTCAAGTTGTTGAAGCAGGTGGGTCAAGTAAGTATCCAGCCACTAGAAGGCCACGAAGATCTCGGATCCATGGCTCCCAACAACCACGATGAAATGCAAAAGAATAGATCAAATGAGTAGACGGGATACTATTTCTCATGGTGCATTGCCCCTTTGAATGTTCTGCTTCAGGCATTCATGGTTTGGGTCTGTGTGATGATTGAAATCATGGGCCCGCCCCAGCCATGATGGGGCCGCCTGGCCCTCCCACCTTGATCCGGACATGTCCTGACAGGGTGGATGTGGTGGAAACCAGGGTCGCCCATGCTAGAAATAGTCTTTAGGTGACACACCTGCCGGAAAAGAGTCTTGGACCGACAGGGTATATAGCCATCTAGATGACCATCCAGGTCTCGCGTGCGTTGAGATTTGTACAGGAATTTTGACAAGTCCTTCAGACTATCTTGAAACATCTGAATGCGACCATTTTGAACAATCTGGGGAGTCAGCAGTTCAGAGGACGCTGATGTGTTGTTTCTCTTGTCCAATCTGGGCGAGCACAGAACCTGCGGGAGCCTACATGCGCCATAATGCTCGGGTTTTGCTGTTCTTTGATGTACAATGGTTTCAGCCGTTCGATGGCACAAGCCCCAAAAGCTGGTTCATATTTATTGTGAACACATAAAAGACATCTTTGGGTGCCAGCGCCATCATCCATTTGCACTTGCGTTTTTCTTCCGACTTTCATCGCGCATGATGTTACCTCCTGTGGCCCGACCTTCATCGCGCATGATGTTACCTCCTGTGGCCCGACCTTCATCGCGCATGATGTTACCTCCTGTGGTTCTGGACCAACTTTTCGATGTCGTTCTGCACCAAATGCGGTCAGTGGTGTCGTAGCTGATCGGTTCGTTGCTCACATCCATCCGCAGACAACGCCTTTGGACCGTCCAGAAAGCACAAAGCGTCGGGGGGGGGGGGTTGCACCACACGCAGAACGTCGCGGTCGCGTGAAACGCGACGTGAGTAGGGCGAGATCAGCTGAGCCTGCCCAAACACGACCAGGCCGGGCCGACCGGCTCAGGCAAAGGAGTTGGTGTCTCAGCCAGTTACTTGGTTCATGGAAGGTAGCTTCCAGGTGACCTACCCATGTTTTCTTGGTTCAAACCTGTAGATACTCGTATTGAACTGACTAGCTGGTGTGAGATTTAATGAACAATCTCTTCCCGGTCCACGTGCCCGTGATCCTAAAGACTTGGAGTCCTTGCACCACCGCAACCAAGGCCGATTTGCCTACCACAATATACAGATATACGACATAAGGTACTTGGATCAGTTCGGGGATACAGTAAGGATTGGTCTAGGGGTTGTTGAAGCTCCAGAGAAGTGACGGAAGCATTCGTGGTTGGGGTGCATGAAGGGTTCTGCCACACACACAAACAGACACACACACACACACACCCACACACACACACCCGCGCGCACACACACACACACACTGTTCTGATTGTTCCTGGATATTATCCATGTTATGTTATATGTAAAGTAGGGGTGTCCCTTGTTTCAAGGACCATTTGTACGTTTGTATTTTTTTGTAGGTGCTAACTATCATTGCCGCTGTAATGGGGATGGCACCCTGTATGTAACTGTCCTCTACTCACTCAAAAAGGTGTGAATCATTTCTGAACATGAATCCAGATTGGGTGGCCAGTCCAAATCTAAAGCTTACGTATGTTCCAAAGAAGAACAGGGCACATGACAAAATGTTTAAAACCTTTTAGGACTTGTTTTTGCTTAGGGTGATGGTTATTTAGATTATTTTTCCTGCTGGGTCCTTCCCCTTCTGGGGAATCTGTGTCTTGTTCCCGCTTCCACATGCATTCCTCGGTGTTGATGTGACTGCTTTCAGGCACCAGCGATTGGGTCCAGACTCATAGCCGTTTGTACTCGGTCGAAAAAGGGTGGTGCTCAGCAATTTTATACAGCAGTTTTCCAGGTCTTTCGGGCGACGCGTGCAACACGATCGCGTTCCCGTTACGGCCGTTCCCGTTTTGAAGCTGCGTGACGATTCGGCCAGGAGTATGTCCAAAGGTCGAACTTCTATGCTCCCACCGGTGGAACTTTTTCATGAGGGTAGGGTGCATCCCTTCCCAGATCTCGAGCCTACTCAGACCCATGTTTGCGTGAGCGAAGGAAACAATGGGGCAGGGTTGATGGGAAGATCTTTGGGGAGGAGGAACAGGTTTGATTTGGGGTGGAACTTTTACTTGTATTTAATTCTGTCACACCTAAATGATTCTAGGGTCCACTGCAACTCAACTCAAGAGCTCAATCCAAAGCCGATTTTACAATGTAAACTTTATGTACCTCGAGACAAGCTGTTGATTGCAAAACTGCCGGGCGAACTTAACCGAATAAAAACAGCAAGAACACGTATCAGGAAGCTGCCACATCTACCCAGACAGTTGGTTGACGACTTGGGAAGTGGACAACTTGGGCCCTCCACAGATGGTCGTTGTTTTTTGACATAGCCATCATGATTTGGCCAAATCCAGTAGGGTCAGGTGAGTCGTAAAGTGTGTCATGCTCTAAAAGGTTTTTGCATGTTTTTGCAGAAGGCTCCTGGCAGGTTACAGAATACCTCTCTTGCTTGTTGGTGGATCTTTTTGTTGCATCGAGAGCGGGAACCTCCAGGGCTCTCGGCCTCCAAGGCTCTCCTTGGCTTCGAAATGGGCAGCGATGGCCACGGAGCGTGGTCCGACCAAGTCGGGTCGGTCCGAGGGAGTGAAGACTGGAGGCCATCCCAAGAAGCAACATGAGCCAACGAAAGCCCCGTTCGGAAAGGCGGATGTACTTTGGTGTTTTTTGCTTTTAGAAGTTTATTTTTTCTTTAAAACATGTTTGGATTCGATGTTGTTTTTCCCGAATGCGTAGCGAAGGGTTCTTGTTTAACTCTGTAGGTCTGGGGGTAGAGCCTTGTTCGCGACTCCTTGTCTCAGCGTTCGCAACCGTTCGCAACCGACCGCCGCCGTCCGCGGTAGGGCGCTAAGGCGCTGCCATTGGGGGAAGCTTTTGTAGTCTGCGTAGTCACATATTGGGATTGGCGTTCGCAGGGTGGTGTTTTTGGGGTGTTGGATGTGGCTGTGACATTGGGGTTTGGGTTTGAGGGTGTTGCATCGAAGCAGTGTTATCGTGACAAGTCTCAGCTGAAATGGCGATTGTGGTGGATGGGAGCGTGCTCAGAACCTGTCGAAATCATTCCAAACGTGTGGTGTGGCGCAAATTTGGTTGAAGCGAACGTGATATGATATTGCGGCAGGTGCAGTATACTTGGTGCGGGCTTGGAGGTGCGGAAATGCGATTTTCGTGGCAGGCGCAGGGAATTGTGAGCTTGCGATGTGTGGCGTTCGTGGCAGGCGCAGCACTTTGTGCGCGTTATAGACGTGTGGACACGTAAAGTTGCGTGGCAGGCGCAGGGAATTGGGAGGTTGCGAGTTGTGATGGAGGTGAATGTCGCTGTGACATTGGGATTGGCGTGTGAGCGGGCGTTGTTTGGAGGGGCTGGAATTGCGAAACTGCTTGGCAGGGCTGCTTGATGTGTGTGTGTGCTTCGATGGGGCTTCCCGCTTGACTCGACTTTTGGAGGAAGTCTTGTACGAAATGCTCGTTTTGGAGACTTTGACGTGTGAGTTTTGGAGGAAGTCTCGTACGAAACGCTCATTTTGGAGACTTGACGCGTGACTTTTGGAGTACGAAACGCTTGTTTGGCAGACTTGACGCGTGACTTTTGCAGAAAGTCTCGTACGAAGCGCTTGTTTTGCAGACTTCAAGTGTGAGTTTTTGAGGAAGTCTCGCGCGAAACGCTCGTTTTGGAGACTTGAAGCGCAACAGTGTCCGACCAGAGCGTTGTATGAGAGTGTCCCACAAGAATGTCCTATAAGAGTGTTCCACGAGTGTTCTGCAACTAAGAGTGTCCGACAAGAGTGTCCTACAAGAGTTTCCTACAAGGGGGTCCCACAAAAGTGTCCTACAAGAGTGTTCCGCAAGAGTGTTCCACAAGATTGCCGAAGAGTGTCCCACAAGAGTGCCTCACAAGAGTGTCCTACGAGAGTGTCTCACAAGAGCGACACACCAGAGTGTCCTACAAGAGTGACAAACAAGAGTGTCCCACAAAAGTGTCCTACAAGAGTGTTCCGCAAGAGTGTCCCACAATAGCAGCAGCAGCGGCAGGAGTAGTAGTAGTAGTAGTAGTAGTAGTAGCAGGAGTAGTAGTAGTAGTTGTTGTTGTTGTTGTTGTTGTTGTTGTTGGTTGTTGTTTGTTGTTGTTGTTGTTGTTGTTGTGGTCGTTGTGGTGGTTGTTGTTGCGGTTGGTTGTGGTGGTTGTTGTTGCGGTTGTTGTTGTTGTTGTTGGTGGTGGTGGTGGTGGTGGTGGTGGTGGTGGTTGTGGTTGTGGTTGTTGTTATGGTGGTGGTTCTTGGTTGTTGTTGCTTGCTTGCTTGCTTGCTTGCCTGCTTGCTTGCTTGCTTGCTTGCTCGTTCGGTCGTTCGTTCGTTCGTTCGTTCGTTTGTTTGTGTTTTTTGTTTTTGTGTTTGTTTTTTGTTGTTCTCGTTCTTGTTCTTGTTGTTGTTCTCTGTTGTTGTTGTGGTGTTTTTTTTGCAGTTGTTGTGTTTTTTTTGCAGTTGTTGTTGTGGTTGTGGTTGTCGTCATTATTGTTGCGGTTGCTCTTTGTCTGGAAGAGGAAAAGCAGAAGAACAAAAAAGCGCGGCGCGCCGATATTGCGATGCCACTCGGGCAGTGTAACTCGCACCGCGGGCCCTAGAACATCGCTACGTTGATGCCATGGGGGCGCCCCCCGTTTTTATGTTGTTCCATCCAAACCCATATCGCCCTCTGGACGCTCTCCCCAGTGGCCCGCGAGGATTAACGCATTCGACGGAGCTAGGGTCGGCTGGGGGCGCCCCCCCTGCAACCAAAGGTTGACGGCCTATACGGCCGGCGCCTGTGGCGATCGCCCACCAGTTCAGAGGTCGGACCGGCGATTAGGATCCTCCCAACGTCCAAGGGCCACTACTTCGTTGTGCTCGCAGGGTACCGCACACGCGCGCCGCCAGGAGCCTTCTCTTTCTTCTGGGGACGGCGCGCGTGCGGTACCCTGCGTCCGACAGGGTCAGGGATGCAGCGCGCAGGGGGGAGTCGATCCGTCAGATTGGGTCCGGGATGCGCCAGGGGGAGTCGAACCCGGGACCCCAGCCTGGACACCGCTTTGCGCAAAAAAGAATTCTTGACGGCCCCCAGCAGACAAACAAAAGTGAACAAATATCAACGAAACGCGGGCTTTCGTCCAAGTGACGGCGGACCGACATCGCCCACCGTTACACAGGAGTCCCTCAACGCCGGCCCCGCTCCGCTCACGCTCACGTCCATCGGTCTGTATTGTCGGGGATTATGTGCGTGTATATATATATATATACTGTATATATGCCAAAACCTCCGGTGAAGGCAGAATCACTACAGTGAAGACTAAGGCTAAAGGTAAAATGCGGGAAGCCTTCAGGAACGACAAGGTTCAGAAGAAAAACAACAAGGGCTTAGTACATGTTGTTAGGTGTGATCAAAAACCGAGGAACGATAAGGCTCACAGAAACAGAAAAACCATGTTGGGAAGAGTGCGCACTACAACACACAAGAGGTTTTGCACGTCGTTCATTATATATATATATACATAGCTGGACCCTGAAACGATGTGTTTCCGTCTCGCCAAAAAACATGACGCCAAAGTGACGCAGTGACAAAAATCAACACAGAAATAACAAAAAACCGACACCAAATTTGTTTGTTGTGTTTTTGATTTTTGCCGGAAAATTGTCCCCAATGGAAGTACATGTGTTTTGCGCGGTCTAGGTATATATATGTATCAGTGACATATACAGAATACGTATGCATGAATAATATATAGTTTCATATGTTTGATGGTACATATACATATAAGTGCCAAGGCTTTTAAGTGCTCTAGTTGACTAATTCGTGGTCTCGATGCATTCAGTTGTTTCTCTTCGAAACCCAACCATCAGGAGCTTGCCATTTGGGTGTTTGTGCCGAGAATGAGCAGTCTGTCTCTGTGGGTGGTGGACGCTCGGTTTTTGAGACCAGGGTGGCAGGTGAGAACAAATTGGTAGGATGCAGAAAAATCACGTGCAGGTGATGGGGTGATGAAGCGTGATGAAGTCTATATAAGTCTATGTATCCGCATTCACCCTACCCCCAAACTCCATTCCCCAATGTTTTTTCAACCTCAAAGGGCTTCGAACTCTGGTGATTTCCAGCAGCTCAAAGCTGCACCAGCTTCTACATGGCTCTTGTTTGGGGGAGGGATCACGGAACACGATTGCTCCCCAGACACTTTAGGTATGGAATCAAAAGCGTCCTAATTTATTGTCTATTTTATGGGCTCTACATTGCCCAAACTTGTTTTCATGGGACATCTCACCCTATGAACTCCACCTTCACCCCTCCCGGTTTTGGGGACGACTACGACTCGGGACGGAGTTTGGACGGAGACCAACCAGGCTGAGATGGACGACGGTGTAGCTGCTTCGAAGGGACCGATGGGATTGGCATATATACATTGGGTATGATTGGGTTAGTTTCAATGATGAGGTGAGTGTATATAATACATTCCAGTCCCAAAGAATGTTTGGATTCCCCTGTGCCATCTACTATCATCTATACTCCTTAATGAGCCTTAATGTGTAAACGGATCCACGTACTTCCTCAGATTCTGGGCTTGGAGTCTAGACGTTCAAGAAGCTGCTGGCGTCTAGAATCTAGACGTCCATCCCGACGCCGTTGGTTGCCTAGGCAAGGTGGCCAGTTCCACGAAGTTCACGCCCTTGGGCATGAATGGCGCGGGCCTAAAGAAGTCTGCTGCGTTAGACCATGTTAGACCGACCTTGGGGTCTTTTGAGAGTGTTGTTTTTGGAAAGTCTCAGTGTCAGGGGTGTAAAAACAGATGCTGGGGGGGGACAATTCTGTGCCTCTTTGGACAGGTCAGCCGGTCAGCCAGGTCATCCTGCACTCCAAGAAGGAAGTCGACCAAAATCCTCCTGACCATATGGTTTGCCCCATCATGTCGGATCTCCACAACGGGGAGGGTTTGCACCAACGATGTTGGTCGATCACAGGCACCGATTGCCATTCTTTTTGAAGAACACAAAATTAGTAATAAGCAGATTGAACAGAGTGGATGTAGAACCTCCCATTTGGGTTGTAAAACATTTTTATATGTGGGGGGGGTGGTTAATCAAGATTGTAGATCTATAGATCTTAGGGCCCAGACAGTGGCCCAGACTTATCGTCTCTGGTTGGCTTGTCTCGTTGGAAGGCACTGTGCTTCTAGGGAAGACGCCCATGCAAATGAAAATCTTCAAGTGCCCTGAAAGAGTACCTGAGGTGCGGTGTTTGGGAAGTCTTTCAATGAATGGCTGCGGGTCCAAAACCCTGCGTGGGAGGGACCTTTCGCATTCAGGTGGCCATGGACTTTGAGACCGACCGAGATCTCGCCACCCCAAACCTCCGCGGTTCCACGGCGCTGTTCGGTCGACCCGTCGCCGGTCACCGAGGCAAAGAGGTCTTTCGCTTCGCCACCAGCCGAGTGCCCAAGGCTCGGGTCACGTGTGGCAGCCGACCGTGACACCGTGTGGACGAAAGACCCAAGGCTGTGGGGCAGCGTTCAACATCCTGAGTGCCGTAAAGAACGACACCCCCAAAACCTGGCCTGGACAACTGGATGTGTTGGGAGTTGTGTGTGTGTGTGTGTTTTTGGTGGAGCGGTTCTACTGTACCTTGGGTCAAGGTCCGGGCCTGGGTGTGGCAGAAACTTTTTGTGTTCCTAGGCAAAATCGTTTGCATTCTGGTGGAACATTGCTAGGATTCAATTTTCTTGACATAGGTTCCTGCTGCAAGTGCCACTCCAATGACTGTCACACCTTTGCGCATCAGAAACACTACAGACAATACAGATTCCTGATGATATTTGGGTTGATTGTTGATGTACTAACTACCAGGACCATCCTGTCGGGGTGTCCTGGCTGGACTACCCCACACTACCTGGCTTCTAGACAAGGCACCCCGACAGGATGGTCCAAGTAGTGTTCAGTTTTGTCATGTGAAGGGTAGGTGACAGTTGACAGTTGACAGGTGGTTCTCCTAGAAAGCTCCAAGGTCAGAAAAAGAAACAACCCTGTGTTCTTTGGGTGATTTTGGTGCTTTCCCTGTGGGTGAATCCGTTCGCAATGGGGGAAAACAAGAACCATTGCTTTTGTATGTTTTTGTTGTTGCCCAGTTCCAACAAATCCAAGAAGTTCTTGCCGCCATGCCAGACACTCTCCAAGCTCTTGGAGCGATCTGGTGTCGCTCCAGAAGAGGCCCTGCGATGCGGCGCGATGCGGATGGGGCAGGGGTTGGAGTGGTTGGTGGAGGGATGCTCCTAATCTGTTTTTTTGGGGTGGGCATGGGTGGAATCCCCTGATGCTCAAACATATGTGTTCCTGAGCAGGTCCAGGTGTTTTGGCGCCCCTACTTGCCACAATTTTGTTGGGTTTCGAAGAGGATGTTCCAGCAAAGCAGGTGGGGTGTTTGTGACTTTAAGTGACGAGTTGCAGGACTCGTTGAGCAGGTAGGAGTTGTCATTGAGTCATTGATCTTTCACTTTCCCTTTGTTTCGCTGCATGTTGTTTCCATTCATACTTTTCAACGTACGAGCATGCACATCGATTGTTGCAAAATAAATATTAACTATATATAATCATATTATAGTATAATATATAATTACAGTATATACATAATATTGGCGCCACTAGCGCCAGCAAGGAATAGCCTTGTTGGAAGGCACAGGCACCTACTGGCTTGAAATACATCCAAATACCAAATCCATGGAGTCCTACAAGCGCTGGACTGCTTGTCGACTCATTTCAGGGTCTGCTACTGTGGCGAAGTAGCAAAGAATTCAGAAAAAAACTCCAGAAGTAGATGTAGCAAGAAGCCACTAGTAAGAAGGGCATTGCTACGTTCGTAACAAGGGCATTGCTAGTAGCTAGAAGCATCGCACAGATGGCGGAGGGTTGTATGACGGTCTCAGGCCCCGTCACCCGCCCCCAGCCGCCGATCCACGGTGCATGGAGTGTGAAACCCTGCATGTTGGGTCTTCCGATGTTTGTTTTATGACATGTTCGTTTTCTTTTAGGATGTTGATGGGTTTCAAATCGTTTTCAAGCACCCGTGGTGCGAGTTATGCTGCCCGAGGTGCCTTGCATGTTCAGCATTTGTTGCTTTTGCTTTCTACCGTCATTTGCATGTTCATTTTTTGTTCTTTCCTGCTCGTTGCTGTTCATTTTCCTCGGCCTCTTCCTTTTGCTTTTCTTCCTCTTGCTTTGGTTGTTCAGAGAAAGAGCAGAAAGAGGAACAGGAAGGGGAAGAGAGGAAGAGAAGAGAAAGAGAGAAAGGGAAAGAGAAAGTACAGAGAGATAGAGAGAGATAAAGACAGAGAGAGAGAAGAGAGAGAAAGGAAGAGAGAGAGAGAGAGAGAGATAGCGAGACGGAGGAGACACTGAGTGACAGCGGGCTGTTGCAGCATCTGCACCGCCAACGTCGGCAGCTGCTAAACTCCTAGACGCCATAGACCTGCCACAGACACATGCGGGCACATGCGCGTCGTCCACTACCGATTTCCCTTGCAGAGACAAGGACAGAGAAAGGGATCATGAAAGAGGACACAAAAACAGACCCTACTTTCGCCGCCCCACCGAGCCAGACACTGGCAGCATGACGACCAACCTCTTCTTTTTCCTCTCATACCGGCCGGTGCCGAGCTGTCAGGCGTAAGCCTTCAAATCCCCCATGCACCGAGCTCGAAAGCGCCGCGCCGCCCCGGTCCAGGTGGATTGGCTTTTGCTTCACCAGGCGGGTGGGTCGGGGGGCGAGGATCACAGAGGCACGCATAACACACATGCCTGATAGGGGTTTTTGTTTGCCAGATTTCTTGCCATGCATGACACTTCTTGTGGAATCAGGTTTTGTGATATGACTCGAAACTTGCTTGAGTTAGGAAGCACGAAGCATGGTTCGCCACGATTCAATTATAGGGCTTATCGGTTTAGGGTTTATTTGCACTGTTATTTGCATGGAATTGCTGAGAAATTGATCATTGTTAAACATTAATATTTAGAGCGAAAATTGTTTTTGTTGTTTGTTGCAATCGAGTCCACAAAATTGATGAGTCCATTCCGAAACATGATTTACAGTGATTTTGCTGCCCCCTCAAAGTGCTTCAGGGCAAACCATGAGTCCTGGACGTACTTTTCATAGACATATCATATATAGGCATTTAGTCCCAAACCCATTCTTTGGGCGGCTTTGACCGAGCAGAGGCCTCTGCACAATCAACATCAATCAACTGAGCCCTTCTTTGCATTTTTTGATCACAAGCACAAGTGATTTGGGAATGGAGCTACTGAACTACTGTATATCCAGCAAGATCTCAAGAGCAACGAACCAACCTCATTTGCTGGTTGAAAGCCTCTTCGAGCCTCCTAGAGATGCTCTAATCAAGAGTGACAGGAGACATCATGGACCATCTCAGACGTGTATGTTTGATGGTCCAATGCCTCTCAACCGCCGCATCGTGAGACGAGTCACATAGGCTGTCAAGGTGCAGTGTCCAGCATCACCTCAAGGAAAACACCTCGAACATCATCGCCTCTTGAGCATTCGCTTCAAAGAGGGTGAAATGCAATCTTTACTTGATTCCAGAGTTCTTCTTGGATTCAGAGATTTCTAGGTTTCGTGACAGTGGATATGATATGGACCTTGTCAACAAGCGTGTTTGGCTGAATGGAGTCGAGGAAGAGAGACGTTCGACTGTGAAGACACGAGAGTCATTTTCTTCAAAAGCCAAGACGTCACCATGGGCGGATGCCCAAACGACGCTGAGAAGGAGAAAGAAGCTGAGAAGGAGACAGATGACCAGGCGGTTCTTAGAAAACAGAAGCGACCAACGTTAACGTTGAAACACTTCTTGAGAAGTGCAGCAAAGCAAGGGCAGCTTCTTCTCAAGAGTTGAATTGGCTTGGCATGAGGAGTTCAACCAGCTTGGCAAACTGTTCCTGGATGTTTCTGGCAGATATGGAGGAAGGACACAAAGAGGTCTCTGTCTGATCCACAGCTGCATCAGCATATTTTTGCGCCTTTGGGTGGGTGGCATACACGTTCAGCTGCGACTGCGAGACTGCTACACGTTTCGCTGAACTTGGACTGACTAAAACTGTGGACCTGAGGCTGGACGCCTTGACGCTAAATTCAACATGTATATCTACCAAGAGTTCCATGTTCAAGTTCGAGTGCCTGGAGGGTTTCCGTGTGCCCATATCCACACTTCTTCTCCTGTCAAGGCGTTCCTCCCAAACCGGCAGGGCGGGGGGCCCACCGACGAGTTCTGCGAAAGGCCAACCGGCGCATCATGGATTCCGCAGCGAAGCGCTTGGGCGTCCCACAGGCGGGGAGAGGGGAGAGGGGTCCGTGGAACCCACAGGGTACAGGCAACAGACAATGTCATGCCCAGAAGCAAGAGTAAAGCAGAATTATCTGCAGAAAGGCAACCTTTTTTGCAGGACTTAGGCATGACTTAGTGTTTTTTTTGCTGTACAAATCAAGAGTATAATCCTCCTTTGTACTGCCCAAATTCTTTCCAGTGTGTGAGGTATATATACACATTATAATGCTGATCACCGCTTAGAAGGTACTCCTTGCTACAAAAAAAACAAAACGAAACGATACGCACTATCTTGCACTCAGAGATGGTCCCCCCCGAAACCCGAAATGTTTCGACACTTCTGGAAGTAATCCCCAGAAGGATCATCATTCCAGTGATGTTGCGGTTCATATTGCAGATTGTGTTTTCGATGTCATTGGCAAAGACGCGGACGTCCACACCCTGTCATTTCCAAACATCCCTGCAAGATCTCTAATTCAAACATCCCTGCAATATCTGTTGAGAGGGTCCAAAAAGAAGCATCAACTTCCACAAACATGTCCAAACCCATGCCTTTCCAATTCAAGTCCTGCGAGAGGCGACCCATATGGGGTTTATTAATCAAATGTGTATATACTGTATAACATTATTGATAGATGATGCCACGGAAGGTTTTCCTGACCCTCTTCCATGGGAGCATCTCAGACGTGCCTGGTTTGGTAGTATATGCAGGGGGTAGAACCCCTCAAGACATGGGGCAGTTCATATTCCAGGGGAGGTGTGACTTTCCATTGCTCCTGAATCCTTCTGAAAGGGGTGACGCACCTTCAACCCTACTAAGCTGCTAAGCTTCTCCCCTCTCAAGATCCAGCATTTGGGCCAATGCTTCACCTCTCTGAGCGCAGGCCACTGCCCTGGCCAAGAGAGGTTATAAGCTATGACCATACTATAGGGGCTCCTGGCATCGCTACGAACGGAGCAAGGGTACAGTAAAAAATTGGGATCATCTTTTTCGGACATTCACCTCGATGCGGATTCACCTAGGAGCCCCCAGGCTTCGATGCGGAGGGCATCCGGGGCCTCGAGAAAGCGGTGTTCGATCCGATTCGCCTAGGAGAAGATCATTTGCAACCTCGATGAGTACGGCAACACCTCGGCTGCCTCCATCCCCTTAGCTCTCGATGAGGCGAAAAACACATGGCCGGACAGCATCTCTCTTAGTGCCGCTGTGTCGGTGGTGAAGAAAGAGGAGACGGGTTCACCGAGGTCCAAGTCCGAAGCAGTGACCCAAGTGGTCCAAGTCTCACATGGTCCTTCCACACACGCGGATTAGACGTTTTCCTTTTGGTCTGGACTCCACTAGGCTCCACTGACACACCTAAGGGGGTGCTTGTCAGTGTTTGCCGAGTTTTCACGGCGTTTTTTGTTTATAAGGTTGCTCATGTTGCCTTCTTTCTAATGTTGCTCATTTTGCTTTCTTTCCTTGTCCATCCTGTGAGAACCCTACGCGTGACGTGTGACGGTCCAGAGTTGAAACATCACTCCTCAATTAATCCCGTCCCCCTAATAATAAACACGGCCCCCCCCCCCCCCTAATAAGGAAACCTCGGTCGCATTTTTTTTAATAGGGGGTCCCTGAAATCGGGGTGTCCAAAATAGGGTCACCTGGAAAGAGTTTCAAAACCAAAAAGTAATCCAGGAAAATTTTATATAAAATCCTTTATTAAACTCATATCAAAAATGCAAAAAACCGCCAGATCGAAGGGTCTTCCTCCTTTTCCCCTACAAAAACCTTCATTAGAATAGTGATTCTTCAGTAGACTAACAGCTAAAGCTTTCGAAAGGTGATGTCGCTGTGCCATGCGGTGTTGCGTGACCTCGGTGGCAAGTGCGTTTGCGTGAGTCCGTGCCATTGAGGGAAGGAAAGCCTGCTGGTGTAAGCGCGGCGTGTCATGGTGGAGTTTTGGGGAACCTAATAAAAAAAACTACCCCCAAAATCGACCATGTTGGTAGTTTAGTAGCGGTTTGAAAGGGCGGCAATTTAAAACCAAATATAAACCAAATTTAGGGGATCCGGCATGACTTTTTTTTAATTGGGGTCCGTTTTTTAATAGGTACTCGGGATTACTGAGCTTTTGGAGTTTGAGGAGTTCAGAACTACCTGGACCCGACTGACCCAGTACCTTAGGAAATCGACCCAATAGAAGACAGGTATACCGTATGCTTGTACCCATTTTCCCAGGTAACTGACTGAGACTCCAGGTGCAGGTCTGGCTGCCCCGCAGCGCAGCTTGCGCTCCTCGCAAGGGACGCTTCTTGTTTGGTTGATCCTGCGGAGTTTTTCCCAATCCCTGGGCTCACAGCTACAAAGGGTTTGGACCAACGATTACAATCAAAAAAAAAAATGCATTGAAAGGGTCACAAAGGGGTGCCTATTGGAGGTTAGGGGTGCCCAGAACATCCACTCACTTAGGAACCAAACACCACCCCTTTGTGACCCCTGGTTGATGCCCTTCCACATGCAGCGGACTTTCGGACTTGACATGCCCACGACTCGCCCCTCCGACTCGCCCCTCTGCGCGCGTTGCCACCGGCGGCTCCGGCTCGGGGCCGGTGGGTCAATCGTGTTCTGCACGGTGACAGTGTCGGTGTCAGGCGATCCGCGAGGGCCGCGTGAAGAAGGGTGACCTCTTAGCTTGCTGCGGCTTCGGTGCTGGACTCACCTGGGGAGGCAGACGGCTTCTCACGGCGGGCCGACGGAAGCCGACGGTGTGCTTGGAATGGGGCTGAGGTCTGAAGTGGTTGATAGTTTTTGGAACCTTTTTCAGGACGAGGTTTTGGATGGTTTTGGGATGTTTGTTGGTTCTGCTTTGGGATCTTTGGGAATGGGATTAGCTTATTCTATTAGCCCACTTGACCCATATTATGGGGAGGCTGTTGTAGTGTCTAAGCTGGAGATATGGCAATTGACCAACTTGTGGAATATTCGAATGCCACAGGGGATGACCCATTTGTCCATACTCCCTGGGACTCCAACCACGACATCCTCAGAGGGTAGTAGATAGACCGTGTTTGACCTCCCCAAATGCCTTCTCATGAGGTAGTTGGAGCCCTACAGTAGGCCCCACAGAATTACATGGCAACTCTAGTCTATGTCTCGCCTGGATTGGGTGGAGACCCCTGGCAGAGCGGTCGACTTGTTTCGAGGTGTTTTTGGTTCTTTTTTTTCGGGTTCTGAGGGGAGTAACCCAGTGGAGATGTTCATCAATGTGGTCCTGAGTCCAGAAGAACATCTAGAACTGGAACATCTGGAACTGGAACTGGAACAGACACAGCTGGTCAGACACATCTGGAACTCGAACGTCTGACCAGCTGAGTCAAATCCCATGTCAAATCCCCTGGACCCGAACATCTCTTCGCGTGAAATCGGAGTCCGTGCTCGCCGATCGGTCACTTGGTCACTACATCCAGGGGTCACGGACGGTGGACGTTGCTGTCGCCCTGGAGGGTTTTTCGCGCTAAAAGAGCAGCCTCTCTTTTTTCCGCAGCCTTATTCAGAAGCACCCGCGCACAGCTGGCAGAGACCAAATTTGTGGTATGCCAAGGAGGCGTGTGACTGTGTGACGCATAAGGCAGAGGGACATGGCAATTCATCCCGAATTACAACCCCACCAAGCACAGCCCGCATGCTTTCGGTGCAGCCCGAAGCTCTTAATTCAAGAATGATGCACATTTTGAAGCATGATCTGCTGGCTTTGCCAGAAAGAGAGGGGCCCACGGCCCACGTGTTGTTGACTGTTGCTTAATATAGATTTAGACTACTGTAGTCTGTAGTTGTCTCCGAAGACTTCCCAGCTGTTCGTTATTTTTCCATCATGCCGTCACCGGCGAAAGAGGAGCCGCAAGGCGTGCCGGTGCGAGCATCGCAGGGGAACGGTTTTTGGTGTTCTATCCGGCTTGACCTCTTTTCCAGCTCATCGAGGAGACCCTATAAAGAACAACTGCAGTTAATGCCAAGGAAAAGCCTTTTTATCCCCGAAGCCATCCAAAACCAGCCAAAACCAAGGGAGGCCCATGATCTCGTTCTTAGACCAGCATGGCAAAGCATGGAAAGAAAATAAACAACGCGAAAACACAAAAAAAACAAACGGATTCTGTGTGATCCTTGTAGCAGAACGTCGGGAAAAGCCTCCATGCTCCGCGAACGCAAGCTCCATGTCGGCTCCGTCCGCCAGGCTCCGGCCAACAGCCGACCGATCGGTGAGGCTCCCCGTGGGCATTACCTGGCCTCTTGGGGGTGGCCGCGCTGGTGGTCTTCATCTTCCCCGAGCGTCGCTCGTCGGGGAGACAGCCGTTGCGTGGGAAGGAGATCGGAAGGAGTCGGAAGGAGTGGGGTGGTGACCTGAAGCGATCGATTCTGGTGAAACGAATTACATCATATTACATCGATTATCAGATAATTCTAAGACATAGTGCTTTTGAGGTCATCTTAGTATACACACTTTTGAGTTCTCAGGTTAAAATAGGCAAGTGTAACTAATATAAGACCTATAGCAGGGTCTTACTTTGGAAGTGACCTATAGTTAGCCAGCGCGGAGTTGCGTGTCCTGGCTTTTAAACCACTACGTAGTGCTTTGGACTCTGCCTGCCCTTTCAAAGATAGAGTATGATAGAGTAATGAGGCACCAAAAGCATGGCCGAGAGCGGAGGTCTGACAGATGGGCCCAAGTGACGATTCGTGACTTGCCTCGTTTGCATGATTCTAGAGGTGCCAAACGGAAACCATCACCATCTCCAAGCCAACTTTAAAGAGTGTTTGCTTTTCTATCATGGGTAATACGGTAATCAGAGAGATAATACAGAGATCGAGGCGAAGCTGTCTTGCAGTTTGCACGGGCAGCCTTTGTCAGTAGACAGTAAGTTGAGCTGCTGTAGACATGATATATCATTGATCTATTATTTACCATTGATTTTCAGTTCTCACGTTTCTCATGCTCCTTGCTGACGTGAAACAGGCTGTGGACGTCGTTTGGGGTAACTCACTTGCGGTAGCATGTGTGGAATGCGAGGGAATGTCATCGACTGTGGTGGTCCAAGACTGGTACTCGAAGTGAGTGGCTCTATGTCCGACGGGGATCATCGACCAACCACAACAGTGGCCAGTTGGTGAGTCAAAACAGGGGAGAAGAGCGGTCTTTTCCTCCCGAAAATGCACAGAATAGAGACTTACGGTATAGGGCTTTCACCTACCAAGAATTAGGGGCCGGGTGCCATGCCCCACGAATCCCAACGTTTTTTCGATTGTCAACCTTCCCAAGTCGGGCAGGATGGGACCAGTGACCCGACCCAGGGGCACACACTCCAAACCAGGATCCACAAAGTCAAAACCACTGTTGTAGAATTATACTATATGCGTGTGTTTCAACAAAATAAGACTAAAACCACTCTTGTATATTTATATGTACCTTTCATCATTGCTCGGATTTGCCGCCCGTTTCAGAGATTCTTCCTCACATCTCACCAACACACGTCTAAGCCATCCCTTCAGCCATTGGCTCCTAGGGAGCCGCGGTGCGTAGGTTTTTGAACGCCGCAACTTTTAACACCGCGGCGCAGCCCACAACGATGGCCCTGGTGGCGCCCGCTCCGGGCGCGAGTGCATTTGTGGCCTTTCCGTCCGCCGCAAGGCCTTTGAGATCAGAGCTGCTTGGCCCATCAGTGCGGGGGGAGGCTGCGTCACTGTTTGCCAAGTGGTTACCTCAGTGAAGCTACCAAATCGGCCAAATGGGGATTGTCAAGAGTCCTTTTCAGCTGCAACCTCGTGGTTGCATTTTTTGATCTGTAGTTCAACATACCTTTATAATCCTGAATAAATATAGGTCCGTGAACCACACCAAGTGGAATACCAGAAAAACTAGAGAGACACCCGCAAACTCAAATATCAGGCTGTGACTCCAAAAGATGATCTTCACGCCGCAGATTAACATCATATATATATAATTATAGATAATATATATATATATATAGCAGGACACCCTAAGGGGTGTCTATTGATAGCCCCTTAGAGGTTAAGGGGTGTCCATACAGAAATACGTGGTATTGTCGATGTTTTGCTTTTCAGACCCTTTTCAGCGGCATCCCTTGGCCCATGGCCGGCCTTCTCCGCCCGCTCTTCAAGGCCCAGCACTTCGGACCGCCGTGCTGCCTATGGCGCCACTGGCAGTGCGTCTTGGTTTGGGCGGAGCGATCTGGATGTTTTTTGTTTCCCAAGATTTTCCCCAAATGCTAGCTTTTTCCCGACATTTTTTCAGTGTTTTCGCTTGGCATTGCTTGTTGCCTACTTTGCTATAGGGTGAATTGCGGGTGAATCCCCTTTTCTACGCAGTCGTCGAAAAGCTGTGGCCTGGGGCTTGAGTCGCCTGCCAAGATACACGTACATGACCTAATAGCGATGGCCTCCAACCTAAGTCGGCGACTTCTGCCTAAGATGACTTCTGCCTGCCACCAGCCCCCATCATGCGCTGAAAACTGGTGGCCTAAGATAGACCCAATACACATCAATACGGGCTGCGCTACTAGTAGCTAGAAGCTACTAAGTTGAAGGCCATCGCTATTAGGTTGGAGGCCATTACTAGTAACAAGAAGCTACTATATATAGTAGCTACATATAGAACCCTAGGGATCCAAGTACCTTCTCAGAAGGCACTTGGACCCTCCAAAGCCACCCCAGTCCTTACTACTAGTAACAAGAAGCTACTAGTAGCTATAAAACCCTAGGGATCCAAGTACCTTCTCGCTTTCTTGGACGTCCAAGGCATGGACCTTCTCGGCCCTCACCGTCGCGGCGGCCGGAAGCGGTGCACGGAGGGCGCTGGTGGCACGCCGCGCCGACCGACGGGTGGTGGTGACTTGGTCGAGGCCACTTGCGCTCGACTTTCCGACCCCCAGAAAGACGTGGAAATTCCCTGCAAAATACATGTGTTTTGTCTTCGAAAACGATGGCACTCCACTAAACTAGGGCTCAAGTGGAAACTGGAGTCAGCAGCCAGGTTTGTGCCATTGATGCAAATATGTTGGTCAATGGGCATCGTCCACACTGTTGTGGTCAAGGAACTGCACCATGGTCATCGTCGTCATCATCATTTGCAGCAGCCAATTTCTATAGAAACCAGCTTGCCCGTTCCACGGGCTGGAGAGCCACACTTTGATTCAACAAAAAAGAACCCCTATGGACCGGTCCTACAGTTGAAGGAAGAGGAGCTGATCGGAGATCGGTCATGCACGTCCCATCTCAGAGGTTCTCAGGTTTCGTGGAGAGTCTCCAACCCACATACCTTCTCTTTGTTGGGACGGGACCTTTGCATAGGCTGCATCCGGTTTGGGCGGGTGCATCCGGCTGCGACATGATGCTTGCATATTGCGAAACATGTGATATATTGTCCAATATCATGGTGGGACGCAGAACATTTAGAACATGTTGGAAGATGTGAATACAGACTCAACTCGTCCATGATGTTGGGGCGGCCGACGTGGGGGCAATGCATGCCCACAAATTTCTCAGGTGACCGGTATGGGCATTACCAGCTGCTTGGGGAATACCCTGGATGAGGTGGCGGATAATTTGCAGCATCTCGGAGCAAGTGTGTTTCGAGGGACACGTTCTTTTTGTTTCAAGGGAGGGTGAGAGTGGACTTGGAGGGCGGGGGACACTGGCAGAGGGGGAGGTTTGAAATCATGCATATAAATCATCCTGCATACCTACTGCGTAGATTAGATCAGCATCAACATCATGCAATATCGGTTGAGATCCTACCGTCATCCACTGTTGCAGTAGTAATGAGGAAACTATAATAATATTACTGTTTGGGGGGTGGCTCGTAAGCTACTACATTTATGATCCACCAGCGCCAGCGCATTGATATATTTGTTATTTCAGAAATTCAACAATTTGACTTACAAAGTCCTGGAACAGGTGTAGGAATGTCCATGTATGTCCATGTATGTTTTGCCAAATAGTTTTACATGCAAGATGTGTTGGTAATTGTTCCGCATTTCGCGACCCACTGCGCACAACAGGGTGATTGAAGTGGTGACTGCTACCATATACAGATTACTCCGCATGCAAGATTTGGACTTTCTGCCCACTAACCCAACTGTTCACTTTCTATATCTTTTAACCATATACCCAACTTCAGATGACAGTATGCTATACCCAGTCCTTGGTTTTTTACTCATGTCGTGCTGGATCCCAGTCCTGCATCCCAGTCCTCCCCAGTCCGGTCCATCCCAGTCCAGTCACGGTCGTCCGACCACGTGTGACCGGGACTCCGCACCGAAGGGGACGGCCACCCCGCATGGCGCATGGCGCATGGCTATCACCCCGGTCATGGCCTGTACATGCGATTTCGAAACATGGTATAGAGTTGCAAGATGTGGAAACTTCCATGTCAATCCCAACTGAGAATCAACCATCCAATGTTTGAAACTCTGCAGCTATCACCCCTCCAAGAAAAGACACGATTTGAAGCCAAACCCATGGCTGCAGGAAGGGCAACTCGGGCATCACCTTTTCTGAAGAGCTCCTCGACTGCATCGGTGGGAATCGATGCTAGCTGTTTCTCAGGAGGGAGCTACCAGCATGGACCCTGAAAACCACTGGTTTGTAGAGATTGTAGAGGAAAACAGTCTTTCTGGGTCCCATTCTCAGGGTCCATGTTAGTTTTCGCGGGTGTAAGGAGTGCGTCGTATCCATATTCCCCATGAAAACAGGGAGTCTATGAAGTGAGAGGGAGTTCCCCAGCACACTGAAAGTTGGTTTGCTTTGGCTCTGACTCAACTTGTATGTTAACTAAATCACACAAGCACGCTCACAAGCTGATGAACTCTCCGGTTGTAAGTTTGCCTGTTTAAGATTAAAGTTGAGCGAGCCACACAGACTCTGGGGTTGGGTGCCTTCCAAGGGTGGGACTGTCAGGGAGGCTTGGCGACTGAAAGTGGTTCATCTCCATGTTTTGACACCAAAGAAGATCAACTCCATGAGTTTCAGATGTCGGAATGTTTTGCACTTTATAGTGATCCCCAAATAGATAGTGGCACGGTTTCCAATACATTTTTAGAGGGGGTCTGCTTTTCTATCTACTTGAGGGGTCTATATGGATCCATCCATTGAGTGGAGAATGGCCGAATGGCGAATTCGAATCACCACCAGGACTGCTCAATCCTTGAGACTCTCCTTCAACGACGAGTACTCCACAAGTATCCACAAGTGATAGTAGTTTGGAAGCCCAACACAAGTGTGTTGGGTGTGTCCCATTACCTGTAACAGTCGATAACAGATCATCAGTAAGCATTTAGAGAAAGGCCTCTATCAACCAGCATGATCCACTGTCACAAGGAATGTGATATGCCCATATATGCCCAACAAGTGTGATTGCTTCGTGTCTACTTGCCCTACATTCCTTACAAAGACCCAGCTCCAAGCTTGGAAGTGTGTGGATCCGGATGACTTGGTCCGTCATTGATTTCATGACAACCCGGGCCTTGGGCGATTTCAACCGCGTGTCTCAACGATTCAGAATTGGCTCCTTTTCATCCAAAACACACGCCATGCCGTGCCCACGCCACTTCCAGCGCTCTGGCTTCGTGCCCACGCCACTTCGAGTGCGGAACCTGCCCCTGCCACTTCAGGTACGAACAGCTGGGCATTAAGAGCAACGTACGGGGACGGCCGAACTTAACTCCTGCGGAGATCAAGGCCGGGGAAGAGAGGGAAGCGGCGGTTGGTTGGTTGGAGCCCCACACAACGGGGCGAGCGGGGTGCGGTGCGGTACGGAGAAGCTGTGACGGAGAAGGTGAGGCATGCGGAGGATCCAGCGTAGGGGCAAGGAGAGAGAGAGAGAGACGTTCTCCAAAATTGTGAATGTTCAGGTGCATGGGCACTTGAGTTTCTTGAAGAATTCGGAAGGATCCCGAAGACTCTGTTCAAACAACCTGGTCGTAGTTTGAAAGGAGGGCACTATATAATATACGTACTTGATCAAGCAGCCAGCATAAGTCAGAAATACAACCCCAACTCAAACAGGCCTTACTATTCCGACTTCACAACCTCGGTGCCTGTCGGTGCCTGTGCGAACCTCACCTCGGACCACGGACCGCCGCGGACCGAAGGAGTTGATCCCACGAAAGACCTTGCGCTTCATGGGGCCCAACGCGCAGTTCGCCTACATCGCCCTGGACCGGGCCATCCAGGACGCAGAGAAGACGGAGGGACGGAGGGATCGGGGGTGTGGAGGGGTAGTGGGGGTGGTAGTGGTAGTAGTAGTGGTAGTCGTGGTAGTCGTAGTAGTCGTAGTAGTAGTAGTAGTAGTGGTAGTGGTAGTGGTATAGTGGTAGTAGTAGTGGTAGTAGTAGTAGTAGTCGTAGTCGTAGTGGTAGTGGTAGTGGTAGTGGTAGTAGTCGTAGTGGTAGTGGTAGTCGTAGTCGTAGTCGTAGTGGTAGTGTTAGTGGTAGTAGTAGGAGTTGGAGTTGGAAGCGTATCCACAGCAGTGGCAGTAGAAGTAGAAGCAGTCATTGTGGTAGTAGTAGTAGTAGTAGTAGTAGTAGTAGTAGCAGCAGCAGCAGCAGTAGTAGGAGTAGTAGTAGTAGACACAGTCGGAGAGTCATTGTCATTGTCAGAGTGATTGCCATCATGGTTGTTGTTGGAGGTGGTGTGGGAGTTTGTGATGCTGCTACTGAAGCATTTGCTGGGGATTTTGATGAATCAAAACGACAGGTACCCTCCGGTTCACTAACTTGGAACTGGAGAATGGGCCCTGGAAGAGCATTTTCCTGTTGCAGACAGATTGTCAAGTTAGTGAGCCGGATTGAGTCGGAGACGAGGTTCTGCCATTTGCCAATGTTGGAACCTTCACCCTTGAGCCTCAAGGTTGCTTGACTCTCCAACAAAGGTTGTCCTCTTGGTGGCTAACAACCACACGGTCACCGCAAAAAGTGGCCGATCGGACACAGAAGGAGCGAGACTTGGCACGGCCTGCGCTGTGCCAGGACGCAGGCCTGAAGCCGGAGGACTACGAGAACAATGAGCGCTGTGCTTCGATACTTGGAGCTTGTGTAGCGCAGGGATGGTCCCTATGGGTGTTGTAAAACTTATCACTGGCCATGATTTAACAAGGCCTGCCACCATCATCATTCACTGTTACTGCTAGTAGGATAGACCCGACATGGGTGTGTATATGTGTGTATGTTCAATAGGTTAGACACCCATTGGCGGTTTGCAACTCCCCAGTACCCACGGTGGACACGGTTTGTTCGGACTGGTCCGCAAGTCGTGGTGCCGACGACGGTCATGACTGGCTTCTTCGGTCAAACTGGGAGGTTTGAACAGGTGTGAAGCTACCTACCTAAAAGGGAAATCTAACATACAGTACATACATGGACGAGGCTTGGATGTGGTTTGCATCCGAAGTGCAAATCTCGATATTTCAAGCAGAATCAAGGTCCATCAAGCGATCCCGGAATACGATCCTGTTCAGTGAGTCAGTGTCAATGGTTGTTTATCATTTATCACGGAATACTGTAACATCATCCTCAAGTATAGATCCAATGTGCAAACATCCCAACAGTTAGAGGAATTTGGACAAAAGTGGACAACAATTGTTCTGCAGGAGGAGAAGGAAAAACGGAAGAAACACAGCAGAAAGAAGCAGGAACCACACGTGAGTAAAGGTTACGCGAGTGGATACGCGTATACTAGCAGGCAGACTACGTACATGCATCCTTGTGCCTTTCCAGCATAGACCTTACTTTGCGGACAAGCACCTGAGAATACCTGAGACATCGAATCTATGAAGATAGAGTATCGGTAGCAGCCACACCTTTATTCTTTGGACTTCTGTGGTTTCATTCTGTTGGCACCCGTAGCCGCTACGCCGCAAAAAAAGTATCACTGCCCACCCCAGCACACCCTCCAAACCATCCCGAGGATTCTGGGGCAGGGCGGCACTTCCATCCCAGACGTGATGGAGTCCTGCGGCTATGTGGCCGACCAGGCCCAGAAACTAAGAGAGATCGACACTCAGAGAGGCTGTAAAGGGTGGCGTGAGTGGACCAGCGCCGTGGGAAGACTATAAGATGTGAAAAGTTGCATCCATACCAAATGTTCAACATATTTCAACATATTGACACCACTAATTATAGCGCCTAGTTCTCTTTGCGAGCTTCTTTCCGACAATTGCCCAGACCCCCACATGCACATGGTGCAGCTTCCATTTTTGGGACGGGAACCCCCGAAACCCATGGGGTTTCGGGTGGAACCCGCGTCTCGCTCCGAGGTGAAGCGCTGGCCCAGTAAGGTGGGGCCCTACCGCGTGACACGCACGATGGGCTCCACCGTGTCGGCGGTGCTTTCCTCGGCCTTCAAACTGCAGGCGGGGGGCGATGCGGTGCGGCCGGGGTGTCTCGGAACGAGAGGCCGGGGTTGCAGTGTGAAACTCAGTGAAGCACCCCAAATGAGGATGAATACATATATATATATATATGATTTGCTATGATTTGCTTTATACATAATATAATGTGCTTTATACATAATATCAATTGCTTATATATATAATAAGTTATATGATGCTATATGGCTATATGATAAATAGTGTATGGCTTGAAAAAGCTCAGGACACTTTAAATGTATGAAACTTTTTGCTGGCATGATGGAGCAACAACAGCTTCGGGTGTGAATCCAAGGTGGCGCCTTTGCTGGCTTGGGATTCCCCTGTCCAATCATCCATTCTCTCACTTTCCCGACCCCAGCTGTTCCAAGTTGGGGACAGGTCATAATCGAATCATCCACTCATGACGCAAGACACTGCGAACCCCCACACACCCCTTCAATTTGACCAAACCAATTTGTAACTTTGGAGAACCCCTTTTGCCTCACCCTTGGTTCGTACCTCGGAAGTGGGGTATGTACAAGTACCTGCACTATGGGGGTCATGTCCCATGTTCTAAGGTACTTGAAGTCGGGTGCAGGTAGCTCCTATGGAGTTCCCAGACGTCCATCGCTCCGCCTGAACTCTGCCGATGGTCATGCCTGGCCTCCAAACGCCTCGTCTTCGGTAGGGCCCCTCCTTCTCCATCTCCTCAGCATGTTCCACGGGTGCGCACTGCATTGGGGTGGCCATGGAACAGATCCAACTGAACAAGGCGAGGCGGCTTTCCGATGCAACGAGCGGAAGGTGGGGATCCCAGGGGTGAAATCTTCAGTCCTTTGGGAAGCTGATGTAGGTGTCAGGCTCATACCTGGATCAACGGCTCAAAAAGCCAATGGAACAGGATTCATTGGCTCAACGGGTATGTGAGGAAAGGAATGGAAGCAGCTAGAGCACACAAGAAAGATCAAGAAAGATCAGTAAAATTGGCCCAAAGACCGTCATGGTGGAAAGACCGGTGTTAGCTGAATTTTGCAGGCGGATAAAAAACTGTCGCAAACACTCCATTGTTATACTCCCTGGCCCATACATAATGTTAAGTGCTGATGGGAAAGAATCAACAATAATCAAAACATGCCTTAAGATGAAAACAAAACACATTACTAGACAGTTCACAGATTTTATTCCGAGGGGTTTGGAGGGACCAAAATCGTGGTCGGTGCCGCATGGATGGCCAAAGGCCACGAGTTAGTTGAAATGACATGTGTACCCAGATGTACCTAGACCATCCATGGGACTGGAATATATGCCTACTGTAACATTGTAGGGCCCCGTTTCAAAGAAACCCGCTCTGCCGTGGATGATGAAAGGCATTGATGCGCCGTGTCGAAAGGTCCCCTGGAATAGAACAAAGCCCATAGATCCAGATGACGAACCATGGCATGCACCCACATATATGTCATAAGCCAACAAAGCCAACCAAGCCTTCAACATGACATGACCTTGCTTTGGGCCCCAACCAGAACATGACATGCATGTCGATATGCAGAAGCAGCCATTGCGTCATTGCATACTATACTCCATGAAGGCCTTCCACCGAGTCTCGAGATGGACAAACCATAGGCTCACATAAAGGTCACGGTCACGGGGATACGAACGGGACCCCAAAGAGGGTGTCCCGAAGGCTTCACTCTTTCCTTTATGGAACAGCTGCCATATGGACCGTCTCAAGACTTCAAGAGGCCGATATGGCTGTGGCTGGAGCCGGAGAGAACGAGTGTTGGCAGCCTCTCGGCGCAGAACGGCCTCTCTCGACTCTCGAGAGGCCGCTTGAGCTCCACGCGAGGCGAGGGGAGACCCCTCCCCTGCATCCAACAGAGTGATGCGAGATGTGGACCACATAGATTGCCTGGTACTGGTTGGTTGGCGAATGGACCACTGATTAACTGGGGATACACTCCGACTCGGAAATGGACAACGACCTGTTTATAGAGGCAAATGGTCTTTGCAGGGGCCGTTTTTCAGTTCCATGTTAGTGAGTCAGAATGTATATGGGCTTGTCTTTTTTTAAGGTGTCCAGTTTATGTAGGGCTGGGATGTTCGACTTAGGCGAAGCATACCCTGAAGCATAACCTCTGGAAATGCTACTACTTTAGTCTTCACACTGCGCGAAGCATACCCCGAAGCATACCCCCGAAGCATACCTCCGAAGCATACCCCATAGTCAAACATCCCGGCCCGGGAACCTTAAAAAAATACAAACCCATATATATATATATATAATCCCCAAGTGAACATGAAATAGGTACAATATGCCGTATCCACGCGACCCCTCTATTATTCCTTGGACATCATTTGGAGGAGGGCATCATCCACAATCAGTGGCATTTTCTTTGTGCCTCTAGCATCCTTTAGCATTGCATGTTTGTTGGATTGTAAAATCAGGAAGGGGTCCATGAGCACGCTAATAGGCACTAATGCACGCTAATGCACATTGTGCTGCTTCCTATAAGGCCAGTAGCAATTGCTACCTAAATGTTGGAACACCAGGGACACACCAGTAAGCATGTTTTAGCTTTGCCGCATGTTTCAGTCGAAGACGAGCGAGTTTTGGATCGTTGATGTTGAAGAAACACAACACACCTGTTGCACATGCTTTTGGCGCAATGGGTGATGTCGTTTTTTCCCAATTGGGTGAATGGCATGTTTCCCGGTGTCGGCCACAGCTTACAAGCCGGTTGAGAGCGAGGTTCACCGCCATGTTCGATTGCATGGGAGCCTTGTCCACGAAGCGCAACGCCGAGCCCACGAAGCTTGGAGAGCTTAATAGCGGGCGGGTATGTAATGGAGGAAAAAGACATGCCCACGTCGACGCTCTTGCACATAGTCCACAGCTTCGGCTAAGGAATGTGAACAACATCAGTCATGGGTATTGTCTTCCAAGACACTGTAAAACTACCAGGAAACCACTCCCAGATGAGTTTGGATTTGGGGCAGATCTCAAACTCAATTCATGTGAGGATGGGCAGCTGTTTTGCAGCTGCAGGCGTTTTTTTGGGTGTCGAATTGTGATCGACTGGCGTATCTCGGGTCCTGTGGCTTCAGGCCACCACCAGTTGCATGCACTGTGGTCTTCACATCACGATCTTAAGGAAGACCTGGCCTGTAACTCCTGTGGCTCCTGTGTAACGTGTCCGGTGGAAGAATACAGTAGTTGTATCAGCCATTCTGCACTCCCGCAAAGGAGCTGTAGCTGCCGGTAGCTCTAGTCGCGGTGTGGGTTCACCTCGCGTCGGTTGGATGGGATGCCACCTCGAACTGAGGAATTCGATTCAGCCACCAGAATCATCCAGCCCTAAGGATCCAAGTACCTTCTCAGAAGGTGATTGAAGACTGTTATGAGAAGGTGCTTGGATCCCTAGGGAACCACTTCACTTCACCTGGCTTTGCATCTTTCTGGTGTTTTTTCTCCTCTCCCCGGATTTGGGTGAATCCCTTTCTGGGGTCGGTGCTGAGCTTGTCCCGGTTCCGAGTCTTCCCAGGAAGGCATCCCGAGCCTTCGACAAGGAGCGGGATGGCTTTGTGATCGCAGGTGCGGGTGCGGGTGCGGGGTACGCTAGACGGACGGGTACTTGTACGGCCGGGGGTGGACGGACGGCCCTTCTCCAATGGATTTAAAGGATTTAAAGGGTTTTGTTTCACAAAAGGATCCGCTGAGATCTCAGACACCGATGGGACTGGAATATTTGCATCGGTGGTTGAAAAGGATATAAAGGAGTACATGTCGGGAAATATGCCATACATGGAGTGCTTTGGGAATTATACATGCCACCCATTCGTGGCAGGTAGTGGCAATTAAGTGTCTTTCTTTCCCCACTACCTGCCACGAAGGGGTGGCAAGGCATATCCTGCGTTGGAGTGGATTTGTGCGCAAGTCGTGTCCTATCATCAGGTTAAGGCTGATTTGGTTGTTGATTTTCGGGGGTGCTACAGTAGATGGACAAAATATTCAAACCCAGGGAGCTGTAATTCGTACGCCTAAGGGGTATTTCAATGGCACTTTATAACTCACTGCCACATGGGCTAGGTCACGACGTCCAGAGGACGAAGGCGATTCGCCTCCGTGCCCCCACCCGGGTGTCCTCCTGACTCCTCTTACTCCGCCCGAATTGTTCCTTTGGTCGGTCGGTCGGTTTCCGGCTGCGAGGTGGTGGTGGCATGGTCGTCCTGGAGGAGCTGGAGCACGCGAAAGCCCGTGGAGCCAGGACAGCATTCCCATTCGACGCGACGTGGAGCCAGGACTGGTTCTTCGCCATGAAAGATGCCGCCCCATTGACCCCGTTTCAACCACTGTAAATATGCCATACATGGAGCGTTTGGGTACGGAATTGCCACGTAAATCGAAATCGTGTGACCTGTGATTTAGGGCTTAGTGGAAAGCACCAATTCCACAGCCAAACCCTTAGAGCCTTAGACTCCCCCCCAACAACAATTGTCCTTCCAGTCTTCCGGTTCCCCCCTCTCTGATTTGACTCGGTAGCGAATGGAGATGTGAAGATTGGAGTCACTGAGGACAATGGAAGGGTGCAACAAGAGGTTGAAGAGCTGTAGACGATCCCACAGGATCCCATAAGTACTCCAGGTTCACGTAATCACCTCTTTTGGAAGGTCCAAAGTCGCCATCAGATAACATCAGTTTGGGTGGAAGGCTTTTCAAACACCCGTCCAGGACCCCTGACCATCTTGAGAGCTTAACGGCCAGAAATGAAATGAAATACAGTTTTTGATAGTTTTGGTGTTTATAATTTACAGCGATATGGATAGATCAAACTCCATTATATTCTATTTGAAGTTAAAATTATATAGACCAATGGCAGCCGTTTTAAGTCGGTTTTGTTCGACCAATTCATCAAAACATCTTAGTTTCCGTTTATGTGTCTATCCAAACGTGGATAGACCAACATACATAAGCAGTTTTTGCAAATTTACCGGCCAAGACTGCACCGGTCGAACGGGAGCACGAAAAAGCGGACGAACCAAAGAGTGACGACCGGACGACCCAAGAGCGACTTTCCTCTGAAACAGTCCGTTGGTTCTTTCGAAACATCAGGATTCACAGTCAGACACTCCATTCGGACTGGAATAGGGCCCCAATTGATTCCTTTCAACCACAGATAAATAGTCCCATGGAGCGTATGGGTAAGGAACCCTGAAAAGATTCCAAGATGTGAAACTTGGTTTTGCGGCCCCCACCTATGGAAGCCGGTCAAAAACCATCCCAGGACATGTTTCATCGCCCGCTAAAAAAGCCGTGTCCTACGGGTTTTTTTGCCACTCGATTCGCTGGAGGATCTACGGAGAGCTGGTGGGCTATGCAGCCAACTCAGATGGCTACGATGTGGTTGCACCCTCTGGAGTTGCTTGATTGCTGATATTGAGGGATGGATACATCAAGAATGCAGAGGCCTAAGACTTTAGGTGTCCAATGAGTGTGTGTGTGCTTTAGCCGCTGTCATGAATTCTCAATGGCTCTGAGGTAGACATCATGTACTTTTGAGGCATACTCATGAGATGTTTTTCATCCTTTGGCCCCAGAACTTTTGGAGCGACCAGCGTAATATATCAGTTTCCAACCAAGATGTTGGAGGTATTGGAGAACTGTACGGACCCACCAAAAAGTGTGTAATCTTTTCAAGTGGCTTTTGGCCACAAAACTGTTTGTGCACCTGTATATATGATACTGTAGATACTATATCATCTACCAGGACCACCCAACGGTGGTCATTGCATGATACATACAATTTGGAAGAGGGAGAATCACTTTGCCATACATAGCTTTGACACAAAAGTCTGTTGGTCGCAAGCCATGTGTTGTTCAAGAAAAAAAAGTATATATGTATACATATATTAGTATGCCCAATTTGTGTTCTGTTCTGGAACCCTTCTGCGAGGTTGGCGGTGAGAAATGCCACTCGGTTGGCAAGAAGTGCCTCTTTTTGCGGACGACTACGCGATTTGTGACTGAGGTCCTTGAAAAGTATTCTTTGTTTCAGAAGGTGTCGATGGTTCTCTATCTTTATGGAGCATTTGAAGCATATTTGTCCAATTTTTGGATGTTTACGGTTCTTCGTGACGGACATGCGATTCTCAGAATTTTGAATGGTTTCTTACCAACATCTCATGTTCTGTGACAAGATCAGCTCATCTAGACCAGTCCCTCCTTTGCGAGTTTTTTTGGCAAAGTCACTGGTGAAGGTGATCCACATTGATCAACATCGATCAACCTGGATCCTTGGCTGTCCTCACTGGCGGCAGTGAAGTCCGAGAAAATTTGGCTCAAACCACTGGATGCAGTTGAAGAAGACATATGTAGTGCATCAAGCTGACATATGCACTGCTTTTGGACTGAAGCTGACATTCATGCACTGGATGCACATGTCGTCAGCTCAGAAGATTTGGGATGTTTTTTCGCATGCTCCAAGCAGCAGCAGATCCCGTCATCTGCAGTTGCGAATCTTTCGCCAGTGATATGTATTTGTGTATTTCAATAAGAGCACGTGTTACCCCAACCATTGGGTAGACTGGTCTATGTTCCTTCTGAACCGGGGTAACATTGGGAGGTCTCCCAATGTTAATGCACACCCAAATAAATAGTGATAAGGTCATCCCTTTAAAGCATTGCCCTCCCTTTCAGCCTCCTTTTGGGCTTGGGCTTTGTGCCTTCGCTTTGGGGAAACTTGGAGGACAGACATCAAGTTCGGATAGCAGACATCAGCATGGCTGTGTGCTGGTCTTATGAGCCTTGGCAACTGACCCATTGGCAATGGGGGGTCCATTTAACTTTCCAAAATCATCCAGGTTTAACAAACGTAACTATATAACTAACTTACTTACTTACCTTCCATCAACTATATAACTAACCCTCCAAAATCATCCATCATCATTTGCACACCACTAACTATCCCTTTTCACCATGGCCATCTCCTTGCTCCCAACGTGCCCGACCTCTGGTCGCGCACCGGGCGGCCTTGCTGGAACTGCGCACCGAGCTGCTTATGGAAGCTGTGCGCCGAAGAGTGCAGCGAGCGGGGACCGCCGGCTGAGAGCAGCTGTCATCGGGGTGCTTTGGTCTTGGAGGTCTTATTCTTGCACTTTCTGGCACGAATTACATGACATGTTTTACAAACGTGGAATGAAGTGGAACATGGATGATAATGATTTTTGGGAAGCCATTTCCTTGAGAATGTTCTTGTTCCATGTTACGAGCCGGAATTTACTCTACTAGAAGAGAAGATGGCACAGATCCCCTATATAGTTAAAAAGATGGATTCACCTTTTGCCTTTACCTACTCTTTTGTCCACCTCTTTATCACCAGCTCGTGTATGTGTGGATATGTCAATGCTTCTCCTTGAAAATACATGACTAAGACATGCTAAGACTAGCAGCAGGGTTGGCTATGTCACAATGTCCATGCTGAGAATGCTCCTACTTCCAAGAATTGCGCGCACATGGGAGACCCACCGGTCGAACGTCGTTACCAAAACGATGGGGCAGGGATGCTCCTGCCTTTTTTTTGCGTTCATATATGGGTGGTTCTCATGCTGTAGGCAGTGGTCCCACCGTTCAAGCTGGTTTTTCGCCTGGTTTGTCCATTCAAGTGAACCATGTGGAAAAAGGTTTGCCAGAAAAACTCAGGGAGCCAGATGCAGTCCTTAGCTCGTGCCCAGTTTTTCGGATAATGCGAGTGAATGTGTGGGGTGTTCGAGAAGTTTCAGGGTGAACGAAGGGGAAAGTTTCTTCCTAATTCATTGACAGCCTGTGAAAGCCTTGATTATCCTTGAGTATACCTTGGGTTGTCACATCCCAAGCAGTAGTGTGGTACTTATATATATTGTATCGCACTCCGAAAATCATGACTTTGAGTTCAGTTCTCTCAACTCGCAATCATCATTGCCGTCCTGGGTGGGGTTTACAATGCCTATAGTGCGCCTGGGTCGGTTTGAAATGTCTCCAGGCGAGCTTCGCTTCGACGCTCCGAGGCGGGCCTTTGGAGATGCTTCTCGGTCCGACGAATCCGACGAAGAGCAGAGAAAGGAGAGTCTTCAGTCCAGAGATGCTTGGTGGGAACGAACCGATGGGTTCAGTGGAGAAATTCCCCGCGTGGCCGCCGGGGGAAACTTCTAGAACTTGACTCCAAGAACACTAAGTGGAAAGAAATGGAACACGCTGAACGTGGGTTTCCAGAAAAGCTCATCAAACATTGAGGTTGGAACCAGCTCAACCATTGAAGGTTAGGGTCTTGGAGGGTCTGGGCGAACGGGACTTCGGGGATGAAGACCGGAAACTGAATGGCAGCCGGTTCCATGAGATGGAGGTGTTTGGCACTGATGAGTCAGCCATGTGCTTGTTGCTTAAAGTGTGCTATTCTTGAGCGTTCAATGTCGTTGTCAATGTGAGTTCTCAAATGGTTACTTCTTGAGAGGTTGAAGGATTCCACATTTGTGTGAGAGAACCCATTTCTTCCTCACTTCACACCTCCAGGTCTAAGTTCCTGTTGTTCCCGTGGTTTTCCTGTCTCCCGGTCTCCGTTGCCCAGAATGGTTCGAAGAGAAGAAGGCCGAAGGCACCGCCGCCGCGGGGGGCGCCGTGCTGGGCGGCATGCTGGGCGGGCCCATCGGCGCTGTGGTGGGCTCCCAGGCGCGTCAGCGCGCCGAGGAGCTGGGGGGGTGCGAGCTCGCTGCTTGGGAGGGTTCCACGATGTGAGCCTGGGTTATAAGTACGGTGGAAGGGGAAGTGTATGGAATGGGAAGCAAAGGAGCTCAGTACAAGGGAGTTGAAGAAGCAGTTGCTGGTGTGGTTCAGATGTTCGGAAGTGAAGAGACATGGCACCGGAGGGAATTGCCACGTGTGTGGTGTTGGAAACAGCTGCAGTGATGACGATGTCTTAAGTCTTGAAAAGTTGGATCTACAGTGATTCCTCCCTGGAACCCCAAACAACCAGAAAGAAATGGATGTTTCTCCATTTCCAGCCATTTCCGTAAAGGATTTCAAGCAAGCCATATGGAACAACCATTTGTTTCCGGTTGTTTGGGGTGTGATTCCTCCAGGCATCGTTGCAGCTGGTATGTTTCAATATGGCTTCTCTCGGCTCACAGACAAGACTCGTTCGCTTTCAGAGGTAAGGACATCTTTGTCCTTTGATCCGGCTTGGGGCTTGGGGTACATGATAACAACGTCATGTCAGTGCATATACTGTTATATTCAATGATGGTATAAATTTACAGTTGGAGGGCCTCCTCCCTGGCTCGAATGGGCCTTTGGGGTATTTTGCCATGTTGTTGGAAATTCGTTCATGGCTTCGAAGCTGAACATGGAAACATGGTGGCTTGCAACATGGGGAAACCTTAAAGGGGTGCTGCTAGGGCTGCTAGGGATTTAAATGTCCCTGGGTAATGTAAAAATAACATTGTAAATCACAGAAACTTGCCGGGTCCTGACATGGTTTGTGTGGTTTTTCCCCACCTGCTCGGGAACACTGGCACAGGTGGCCTCAAAGATAGGCCCCGTCTTGAACAATGCCTTGGACGCTATGGAGGTGGACGAAGGCGATGAGGAGAAAGAGGAGGTGTCGAAGAAAGAAGCCAAAGAGACCAAAGATGTCCAGGCTGGACAGGAGCCACCGACATGGCTATGGATCTATCATGGACCCATGGATATGTTGCTGACTTGGACTAATTGCTCTGACAGGATTTATGTGCTAAGAAGTAGTGACAACCCATGTGAGTTGTAGAACATGGTGAGGGGGTTGTTTTCCAAGACCCTCCTTCTAAGTAGATTAAGAGCGGACTATTCGGCGCCACACAGTTGGCTGGACATTTGCCTTTCACAAGTGGATCACATTTCCTTGGCCAATGGACTGGGGATGACCGCGGGGTCCTCTAGCGAGCAGACTGGCCAAAGCTCCGGAATGGCACGACCCATTTCTCAGAAGCCCCTTTGTTTCGGCTCGCGTCATCCAAAAAAAAACAGACGGAACTTCACCACGTTCCAACAAAGGTTCAAGAACCCTCTAGACTCTAGACTCTAGACCATCCCATAGGTAGCCCAGGTCGACCGGGTCCTGTTTTTCAGCTCACTCAACCTTTCTTGCTTGGCCGAACGCCCTCCCGGGACTTCTGTGAGCTGCTCCGATCCAGCAGCCCATTTTTGGGGCTTGCATATAGCATCATATAGCACATAAATTCAATAGCGGCTAAACATTTATATAATACACATACAATATATATTGTTTAATGTATAAAAGGCTAATGTTTAAATATATATATATATACTGTATTATAGTTTAATGTCGTTTAACATGTTTCACCCGGTTTCACCCCAAAGCCACATCCACCTTCCAAAAGGCAAGTTTCGGACACTTCGACGTCAGGAGACGAAGCCGCCGACGGCCACGCCGACGGCCACGCCGACGGCCACGCCCGGTGGGGCGAGTGCTGTCGACGCTCCGCGGGTGAAGGCAGTGTTTTTTTTGACTGGAGAAACGAGCCCAAGGAGACGACCAAAAGAATCTGCCACTGATAGGAGGAGCACCAACATGAGCTATAAATACGACAGCTGCATATTGACAACTCATCAAGCATTGCTGGTCCGAAAGAATTGGATATATAAAACACACACCCAAGACATCCCAAGACAAGTTAGGAGGTAGACTGAGATGACTTCTTGATGTCCTGCGAGACGATTGAAACGCCTCGCTTCTAGGCATTTGAAATCGCTCAGTAAATTGCCCTGAGCCATGGCAGAAATGAGCAGTTCTCGCAGAAAAAACACACCTGGAGTCTAGAAAGGGTACAAGTACCTGTTTTTATAGGGTTATCTCACATTTTACCAATATTTTCCATGGTATTTTAGAGGGCCCAGGAGTATACTGTTCAAGGACTGGTGAGCGGAGGGACGGGCACATCCCCCGACTAGGCCACGGCAGCCACGCCGAAGCCAGCGGCTCCACCGAAGCCGAAGCCGAAAGCGGACGAGCTGCAGCAGATCCGGGAGAAGCTGAAGGTCAAGCAGAAGACCTTGGAAAAGGCGCGCGAGTTTGGCGCGTGCATGAGTTCAGTTTGGATGCTGGATATTTTTGCGGACCAGCAATGCTCTAAGAAATGGCTAGTTACTAGTTGTTCTTATAGAGTGTCGTTGGGCGGAAAACGGTGCTGGTAGAGGATCACCAAACTGGTTGATGGGTGTTCATTGTTTTGTTTTCTGAGTGAACCATGTACTGTATTGACCTTGCAGTTTGCAGAACCATGGATTGGGGTGTCAAAACGCTTGTGACCGGCATGCTTGAAATCGCTGCACCCTAGGTCTAACCGGCGGTGTTGATGATTTGTTGGGTTTCTGAGTTGTTGATTACCACTTTGATTACCTACCCTAGAGTCTATACAGGTGGCTGGAAGGCTTAGCACAGACACTCAGGTATATATATTATATACATAATATATATATATTTACATACAAATTTACCTCTGAAACCACCCCAATGTAGGCAAATATGCCATACATGGAGTGTTTGGGTAGAATCATGTTGAACAATGAGCCTGTGAGTTTCCTGCAACCCTTGCTGAGGAGATCGACGATCTCTACCACCAGGCTGAAGATGCTTGTGCTTGCTTTGGAAACGAATCGCTATTTTGATGGCCATGGCTCAACATGCAGACATGTCCATCAGGGAAAGACCCTTCAACGCCTTGTTCTTCAGCCATACCAGGGTGCAGCTTGGGTCTTCCGCTCACCCATCATGTTCGAAGACTCAGCTAAAAGCCAGCCACCTTCTTTTGTTTGGGTGCTGTGCCTTTTTTCGCACAACTCAGCCAGCGGTAGTTTCGGATATGATGTATTACTATTTATTTATATATAATTTATAGACCTATTTTTTTAATGATCACCCTTTGCTTGGGGTGATTGAACCCACTGACTCATTTGTTTCGTTCATGAGTTGAACCACAGACATCGAACACCCAGGAAGCCTTGAAGGCCGGGGAAGAGGATCGAGCTCGAGAATGCTTGGAGGAGCGAGCCAAGCGCCAGAAGAGCCTCAAGGACCGCAGTTCAAGCCGCGGAGCCCTGTCCCCGACCCAGGAAGTACGTGGAACATGGTGGATATCCGGTTCCCCAACGAGGGTGACACCCCAAGCGTCACTGAGCATCGCTACGGGCCCTGTCCTCTCTGCAGTGGAAAGAGGGCTACTTATTCTTTTCCCGCGAAACGGGTCAGGACCAGAGGTTGAAGAACTCTATAAATATATTATATATAAGTACACATATATCGCTGCTTCCATAAATGCAGTGCTGAGCACTTTAGTTGCGGAAAGACCCATATGAGCGTCGTTCAAAAACCCACCTCTTCCTTGTTAGTAATCGAATTTCAAAGGCTGATTTCGATTGTGCTCTCACTGCAGTCGCGAAAGGTTCGCGAAGGTCCTGCGAAAGGTCTGCGCAAGTCATGTTGGTGACCTGGCCACGCTGCAAGAACAATTGCTCTTCAGACTTCCGATTGCTTTTTCCCGGGTTGGAACCATTTTGCTTTTTCCCGGCCCGGGAAAAAGCAAATTGGAAGTCTGAGCCTTTTGCTTTTTCCAGGCCTGGGAAAAACAAATTGGAAGTCTGAACCATTTTGCTTTTTCCCGGCCGGGGAAAAAGCAAATTGAAAGTCTGAGCAGCCTGGCCTGACTGAGCCGTCTATTGTTCATGGAGGGTTGCGCCCAACCAAAAACACACCAAAATGAAAATGGCTTGGAAGTCTTGACCATTTTGCTTTTTCCTGGCCTGGGAAAAAGCTAATTGAAAGTCTAGACCATTTTGCTTTTTCCCGGGCCGGGAAAAAGCAAATTGGAAGTCTGAGCAAACTGGCCTGACTGAGCCGTCTCTTGTTCATGGAGAGTTGCGCCCAACCAAAAACACACCAAAATGAAAATGGCTTGGTTGGAAGTCGTGACCATTTTGCTTTTTCCGGGGCCGGGAAAAAGCAAATTGAAAGTCTAGACCATTCTGCTTTTTCCCGGGCCCGGAAAAAGCAAATTGGAAGTCTGAGCAAACTGGCCTGACTGAGCCGTCTCTTGTTCATGGAGGGTTGGGCCCAACCAAAAACACAGCAAAGTGAAAATGGCTTGGTTGGAAGTCTTGACCATTTTGCTTTTTCCCAGCCCGGGAAAAAGCAAATTGAAAGTGTAGACCATTTTGCTTTTCGCCGAGCCGGGAAAAAGCAAATTGAAAGTTTGAGTCAAATTGGGAAAAAGCAGCTTGTATCCGGTTTACAAACTAAAATCAAGGAGTTGTGGCCTAATGGATAAGGCAGCAGGATCAGAAGCAGAAGGTCCTGCGTTCGAATCTCCCCAGTTGCCAATTATTTCTCCGGAGTGCTTTAGTGGGAATATCCCCATGACTTAATTAATGTATTGAGGGGCTGGTGTAGAGGCTGTGCCCAATACATTTTTCCAGCCATTCCCGCCAGCCATTCTTGCTCGGCCGTTGCATGTCCTTCGGGGGCGCTACTGTCAGGCTGCCCAGTGGAGGGTCCAAAGATTATTCAAAGATAAACAAAGCCCTTTCTTGATGTGCCCACGCTTCGACCGCGAAGTGCTGTAAGTAACACCACGCTGCTGAAACCTAGAGCAACGTGGAAAAACCGAGTCTTGGAGAATCTTGGAGATATGTTATGGAACCAACCCACTGTTGATTGCAAAATCCAAGAACCATTTGGCACCCCTCAAAACCTGGCGAGTTCCCCCAATTCAGGTGAGGCATGGCGAGGCCGATCGGGTCCGGAACTGCTGCAAGGGTCAGATATTGTTTGCAATGATGTGAGGATCCTGCACCTCCAACAAGTGAATCATTAATTACATCGCCTTCCATCATGGAACCGAAATAGACCAACTTCAACCTGAGGATATGTTTATAAGATGTTATAAGTGTACATTATGTTAAAAGAACACATATTTGTATATGACGTGTGGTACTACAGACCTGGGATATCTTGGATTATCCTGGGGTCTTTGGGAGTTGGAGCATTGTGAAGGTCAGCCAGGCCGCAACCCCCCTCCGACTGTGGAGGCCTCGGACAAAATGGCCGGTTCGTTTGTTTGCTTCAGATAAAGCCCAAATAAGCCCAAGGCATCGGTGGAGAAGCATGCGCCGAATCCAAAAAGGCCAAAGACTAGACACATCTAGACGCCAAACTCACTAGACTTGGACTTGAAAAATTGGTGTTTTACATTGTTTTACCATCCCTACCCCATTTGCCTGGTTTGTGCTACCGTGGTCGTGATGGCGTCAATTAAATGTGCGCATCGGAGACAGGGCGCCAGCGCCTGCTTTCCAACTGCTGGCGGCCTCGGAGCGGCTGTTCGCGCTGTGTCTCAGCGCTCGAAGCTGCAGGGTGCCCCTCCGAGCTCGAGCTCAAGCCTAGGCCAAGCTAGTGAGAGGATGCCAGAGGGAGAGAGCTCATCAACAGCCATTTTCAGAACTTTATAGATACTGTAACACTGGAATTGTAGACGAGTAGAGAAGGTAGAGTGGCAGATCAGATGTCGTGACGGTCATAACACACTCAGTTGAATCCCTTTCGAAGGCCTCATGGGCCCTCGACTGGAGCTCGACGAGCTTGGGGTCACCGACCTGCCATGCAACGCTTCTCAGGATGGGCCCGGAGGCCTGACCCGAGAAGAGGATGGTTTTGGAATGTTTTGGATGGCTTTTCAGCTTTTGTATACGTTTTTCTTCAACGGCTATATACAGCTATGGCATGCTATGGCTATGGTCCATATGGTTTATCATGGTTTATCCAACCAACGATCCTCACGTGTTTGCCTGGGTCAGTCTCCGACGAAGAGCTCCGAGGTCGGAAGTCTGAATTTGTCCGCTCTCCGCTCTGCAGAGGCTGGGCGGCTAGCGCGAACTTGCGCCAAGCACTCTAGTCTTGCAGCTGAAGTAGCAGGTGCAAGGCTATTTCGCCTATGAGGAGGATTCGCTTTCAGAAGCAGAGTCCCAGGAACCCGTGGGTTGGCTGAGAGTTGCAATTCTTGCTGGGCAGAGTGAGATGCTCAACCTCCAAGCAAAGCCAAAGCAGAGTAAGCAGACTGGCACTTCTTGTTTTCAACTCTGTGTGCTTCACAGCCGCCGCAGGATTCGCAGGAATCCTTGTCCGGCGATGCAAACCCCTGAGCCCCGTGATGACCGTGATGTGTTGTTTTTGAGCATCGCACGGTGCTTTGCACGCTCACGGAGTTCGCCAGAAGGTCCAAAGCCGCTGGGACCCAACGAAAGTTGAGAGGCGAGACCATGACCCTTTGCCAGTCGACTATCCCCTTTGGGTTCATACATGTTCATACCCACTTTGGGCTTTTTGCCATGAGCCATGTTGTCTTATTGTATGTGCACAGGGGGTAGAGACAGGGAGAGAGGGAGAGAGAGAGAGAGAGGGAGAGGGAGAGGGAGAGGGAGAGGGAGAGGGAGAGGGAGAGCGAGAGCGAGAGCGAGAGAGAGAGAGAGAGAGAGGCGCGGAATCTTTGCGCAGGCGATGTGCCTATGGCAGAGATGCTGCTGTGAAGTTCTCAGGAGTGAGGTGAGATGCGCTATTCACTTGAGCGAAGCAAATCAGATGATGCAAATTCCGGGTACGGAGATCCCTTTGGTAGCCTCGCAAACCTTGGATCTTTCAGATTTCCACTTTGGCTGCGTTTGGTTCACTTGAAAGAGAAGGAAGAGAAAGATAAGAAGAAAGACAAGGACCAAACATGGAAAGCTTCATCAGCTTTTTGCTGATTTGTTGGAGATAATTAATCACTGTCTTAGAAAAAGAGCCTGCGGTGGCATCATGTAGAACTGTGCATGTTCTTGCTTGCTCTCGTGCCAGGACCGTGACAAGGACAAGGACAGCCGGACAGCCAAGTCGGATGAAGTCAGATGAGTTAGCAGTAAAAACTGGAGGCAGCTGAGTCAGCTGAGACGTGGGTAGCTGCTAGCGAATCCCGGCGTCCCAGGTAATCATAGACTACCCAGGAGGCAGGAGGCACAGTAAATGACAGGTGCCCATGATGTTTGGAGTGATGAACTATGAAGTGGCATGAAGTATGGTTCATCAACTCCAAAACATCATGGACGCCTGTCATTTTAATGGCTTGTGATGGTCCGTGACCATCATTGTCCATTGATGGCCTGCTGGAGCCGAAAACGCTTCGCCAGGAGCGCAAGCGCGAACGCTCCCGAAGCCGAGACCGAAGGATGTCATCTGGAAATGGAGTAAATAAGACGCCCGCTGAATAAGTGGGACGTGCTGCACAAGCACTGTCTTATTTACTCCATGTCCAGATGACATGAAACGCACGCACACACTAAGGCACAGGCGGGGAAAAAACTACTAAGGCACAGGCGGGGAAA